TCTGCTTTCCACCTGGGCCTGGCGGATATTGGGCTTCGCACATCATTGGTTTTATCCATTAAAACCGGGCCAACTGGGCTGTACATCTGGGCCTCGCCATCGGGCCGTTTCCTCTCTGGGCCGCAAGCTGTGTGGGCCAACACCTGGTTAGCTGAAAAGGGAGCAGCGGCCGCGACTTCGCCGGAGGAATGTCGTCGAATAAAAGTCACCAGCTCCGGCGAATATTACCAGCCGTGCGTTCGCCTCGGCGAGACGATCCCGATGGTGCCGTCGGATTAAAGCGGTTTTGCCGGAAATCGCTAGAAAATTGGAGAAGACAACCGGATTTTGACCCATTTTTTCTAGATTTACAAATTTTGACCGCGAAATTGACGGTCTTCCCGGATGAGTTTTTGCACAAAACTTTAAAGGTAGAACGAGCACGATGAGATCTACACGATGATGTAAGAATTTTTTCAATCGGAGAACTTTCACCAACGGTCGGTGGCGGCGGCCGGCGGCGTCCGACGGCGGCGGCAGCAACGAAGAATCTTTGTGGATTCGTCTCGACGGTTGGATTTCAATGGTATCCTCGGATTTTTGATAGCCATCACGGATTGCCGGAAAAATCGATTTGAAGACTGAAAGTTGACCGAAATAACTTAGTTCTGGAAACTTTGACCGTAAAATTGACGGCCTTCCCGGAGGAAGTTTTGCATTAAATTTTAAGGGGAGATTCATCTCGAGAAGATCTACCCGATGACACCAATAATTTTACGATCGGCAGTGGCGGTGGTGGTGACCGGTGGAGATGAAGGAGATTGCTGGAAAATTTTCAGAATTTTTCGATCGGAACTCCGTTTGGCTTTTCGAATGGGTCCCACAGACGGCGCCAATGAAGTGAATAAGATTTCACTCGGGCTCCTTCTAGGGCTGCACAAACTACGGTTAACCGACCGAAACCGAATTTTCGGTTCCGACCGAAACCGAAACCGATAAACCGGTTCGGTTTTCGGTTTTTATTTTTTCAATATTTCGGTTTTCGGTTCGGTTTGGTTACAAGCTGTCGGTTAACCGAACCGAACCGAAAACCGATATCATACATATAAGTTAATAAAGCCCAATATAATGATATGTTATATTATTGAGAAAATTGCATAATCTACTAAACAATTATAACATTATTGCACATTTACCACCCTTATATATTTATTAGCAAAGTAACTAAAATTATTATATTATTTGCATATATACTAGAAGTTGGTTTGAATAGGTAACTCCCATTATATGGTCTCTCTCTCCTCCTCATCCCTCTCTCTCTTCTTTACACGCAATATCCATGGCGAAACTTAAACTCTGAAGCCCAAATTGTAGCAACCCAGAAAACCATACTCCCCCGATTGAATTAATTCGATCGTAAAAAATCTGTTTTCTCTTCCGATGTCAACAAGAGAGAGAGATTGCGAGTTTAGCAAGTTTTTGAACACCACGGTGGTGACGTCATACGGCTCATGGGAACAAGCTATGGTTTGGATCTCTCCGTACACTTTCTCCGTCATCGGAATCACCATATCCATCGACGTCTCAGTCCTTGGCGCCGTAAGGTATCGTATTTTCTCATACTCGTGTTATGTTTTTTTCCTCTTTTTTTTTTTGCCTGATTATTTTGGGTTTTTGGAAATTGTTAGGGGAATATATATAACATTGAGGTATCATATATTTCCGATGAGAACGCAAGAGAGGATCCAGAGATTCGAATCACAATTAAAGACGACGGCCGATCGACAAGAGATTGAAGTGATGCCGCCGCTGGTGATGGAGCTTTGGAGAGATGACGATGGACTTATGACAGGATATATTCTAATGTGTTTTCTGTATATGTTCTGTATATATTCGGTATATAATGACAGCACAACCGATCGATATATATCTTCTGTATGGATTCTAATGTATTTTCTGTATATCTGCTGTATATATTCGATATATAATGACAAGATTGATTTATCTTCTGTTGTGTATTTTATTTATGTCGTATGTATATAATGAGTATATCTTCTGTATATAATCGTGATCGTGTATTTGTATGTATTAAACCAGAAAATATACTATAAATATACAGAAAAAATCACGATATGTAAATGACACAAAAAGTAAACAAAAAAAAAAAAAATCGAAAAGAAAAAATTACCAAGTGTATTTCATATAGTTTTCAGAATCGTTTCAGTTTGAATTGAACAATATCCTAGATATTAGGATATATACACTTGCCATAAATTGTTCCATTATTTTACCAAAACGGTAAATTTATAATCCCGCAATTTAAGCAGACTTGGTATAATTTTTTGGGGTAACCGCTATCTTGCATTTTCACAAACAAAATACAACCCTTCGCATTGTTGCAATTATTATTGATTCACTGTGTATGTATTAAATTATCCCTATATTATTCATATTAACACAAGCCCAAAGTTAGCACGGGCCGCCCACCACAAAGAAGGCCCGATTTGATGACTTTATCGATCCAATCTGTCACATTTAGTCATTTACTCACAGAAATTAATCAGAATCGTCACATTTTATCACATTTACTCCATCCCCGTCTGCCGAAACCCTACCTACGGCTACCATCTTCTCCACCCGTCTGCCGTACGGCGCACACATTCACACACTCCATCTCCGATCGCTCGGCGTCGGCGCTCTGAAGTCGGAAATCCCAAATCGGAATCTGAAATCCCAAATCACCTCGACCCTCGCTCGGTCGCTCCTGCTCCCGCACACACTCGGCAGCCGCTCTCGATGGCGACGCTTTCTTTTCTGATTTTGAATCTCTCGTTCTTCTCTTAAGTTTTAACCTGTGATTCATCTTACGGGCTGCAGCCACCCAATTCAAGCTCTTGTTTAATTTTTTGGTGAATTTTTGTGCCTATGATTCATTGATTTGAGCAATTTAATTTGAGTAAGCTGCTGCTGAACGATTACATTTAGTGGGTTTCCAAATTATTGATATGTTGAACCATTTTGCTTCTGTGACTGTGTTGCTGACTTGATAAACTTGTATTTTGGGACATTATTTTTTTTTTTCTTCTTATGCATTTTAGTGTGTTTTGGTAAAATTCAAGTAGTATATATTGTTATTTGTAAATTTTATTTTTGTCATTTTTCTATTTTATTGGATAACCGATAACCGAACCGAAAAAACCGATAAATTTTCGGTTTAAAACCGAACCGAACCATAGTTTTCGGTTCGGTTTTCGGTTTTGATACTGGACAGTAACCGAATTTTCGGTCGGTTCGGTTCGGTTTTGACCGAATGTGCAGCCCTAGTGTGGTGTTATGGTTTCATTGAATTGTTAAAAGTGTTGTGTGTTTGATTTCTTCTTGCTTCTTGTATATTATAAATTTGAATGGCTATAAAGATGATCAAAGTGATGGCTTCTATGCAAATTTTTCTACAAGCTAAGGCTAGCAACAGATTGGATTCTTATTTGAAGTTTTGAATCAGTTACTTGCAAGTGAACATGCCATTTCTCATTTTCTTTGAAACTGGTCATGTTTATTCAGTGAAACTACTTTAACAGGGATTGCTATTTAATGAGGTCAAGTGGATGGTATGATGAATTTTGGTAAATGCGTGAATGTCTCCGAGGGTTTAAGATTGGTGATTGATTTATGTGTGTTCTACTATGAATGATATTTGAACTTGAGGAGATATTAGATATTATTATGGGACATCTGTGTAAAGGCCAGATGTGGCTGCTTATATCCCTAGTTTAATGGCAGAAATTTTTCAAGCTTGAGGTTGTGTATTTGTGTTTTGGTATTTTTGGATAATAACTGTAATCTGTCTAAGTGGTTTGTTTGTTATGATCCCAGCAGAATGACTTTCTTGATCAAAATTACTCTCAACCCTCTACTTCTCTCCCTCTCTTTCATAAGTTATTTGTGTTTGCCTTTCAACTGTGACATTAAATGTCCCTATTATTTATGAAGGCATATAAGATAGGAAAATGCCTAAACATTTTGTTACGCTAATTAATTCCTTCTTTTCAAACTTGCCTTGATCATGCTCGTAAAGCAATCCAAAAATTGAAGTTCAACAAGCAGCCCGGGTTGATTGAATCAGGCCGCAAATTTGAGTACGATCTTGTATACTCTCCAACCAAGAAGTTACTATTTCCTTCCAACAAGATTTGGATCACACGCTTCATTCCTCATTTCCTATCCCGAGAGAGGGGTATAAGTAAAGTGCAGAGGGGGGTAAAAAGAAGGTGCAGCCGAACATTCCATTGCCAAATTATACTTTAGATTATCATGAGTTGGAGCCTATCAAAGACGTGTTGCGTATAGCTGTACCTGATTATCATTGAGGGTGAAATGGATTTAGTCGCTAGTTTACATCCGATTGGACACAGCATGGCAAGTCAAGTGGTTTGACTATATTGGAGTATTATTCTTTATTGTGTTTGATCTTGCTGAAAATCCCTCCTACCGCATGATCGCCAAAAGGGCTCATCGGATTGCCTTGAAAATTTTGAGACGGCTCAATATTGTGAATGTAGTATTGGGCTCTAAGATGAGTCCGAGACTTGAAGCTGTCACGAAGACGGGAATGCCAGGAGCTGCCGGACTTAACAGTATAAGGTTTTTTTTCAATGAAACCTTTAGTGAAATGAGAAGCCTTCTTCCTCATCTTAGAGCCCAATATTATATTCACAACATTGAGCCGGCTCAAAATTGTCGAGGCAATCCGATGAGCCTTTTTGGCGATCATGAGCCGATTAATAGGAAGTTCAACGGTAGGATTTTCAGAGAGATCAAACATAAGGAATAATACTCCAATATAGTCAAACCACTTGACTTGCCATGTTGTGTCCAATCGGATGTAAACTGGCGACTAAACCCGCTTCTCCCTCGATGATAATCAGGTACAGCTACACGCAACACGTCTTTGAAGCTGTCACCTCGTGACAGGAAAGCCAGGAGCTGCCGGACTTAACAGTATAAGGTTTTTTTCAATGAAACCTTTAGTGAAATGAGAAGCCTTCGTCCTCCATTCTTAGGTTGTAAGCGGAGTGATTTGGTGTATCTTCCTGTTCTCGACAGAGAGGTATGCGTTTCTTGATAGAAGGGCTAGTTTTAACTATATCTTTGATCTTATTTTTGGAAAAAAAAAAATTGTTTTATTTGTGATATTCAGGGTTCACTTGTTCCTCCCATTACCTACGATTTGCTCAGCCAGATTGAGGAGGACGAGTTGTTGCATACGCTTGTGAATGAGACGGTGCAGGTATGAGTAGTGTAACAATCATCAACTTACTCTAATTGAATACAGTTCTATACAAAAAAATTTCCTCGTAAATAGATATTAATTGCTACATGATATAACACATCCAATTTTTTTTTTTCTTTTTTTTTTCAGTACAATCAAGAGGATTGTCAAGCAGAATCTACTAATGGGGAGTGGCTCATGCCGGTAATTGTGAGGATTACAATCGTCTCGTGCATTGTAAGATAACATTTATATTTTTGAGATTTTGCATACTGCAATGATTTCTGAAAATTGAATATAATGTATATAATTTTATAATCAGTGCTTCACTCAGGTGGAAAACCGATCAACACCCTCAACTTTGAAAACCTGAGTTTGAAAACCTGAGGTTGGATGTGGTACGTACTACTTGATTTTTNNNNACATGGTCAATTTTTAATATTTTTAATAGTTTGAAATTTGATTTGGTTTCTTCAGATGTGTTTTGCCAGATTCCAGTCATGATTCTACCTGATTCCTTCCTTGTCTGCCTTTTGCTGAATGAAGATGAAGAAATGATCCTATGGTTTTTGTTTATTTCGCTTTAAAGTTGAAATTATGATACTTAGGATGCTTTTCTATGGAAATTGCATATTCTTCTGCCAGATTCCATATTGCTGAATGGAGATGAAGAAATGATCATATGGTTTTTGTTTTTTTCGCTTTAAAGTTGAAATATGATACTCAGGATGCTTTTCTCTTTTATTTTGCTGCATATGCTTGTTTGTTAAATGGTGTTCCAATATGGAAATTGCATATTCTTCTGCCAGTTTGTAAAGGTAATGTTTGTTAAATGTTGTTCGATCTTTGTGGGTGGAATATCATTTTCTGTGTTGATTAGGTACTGATATCAGTATATATAAGTTAATAATTAAAAATAATTAATATAGTGGATATGAAATTACTTCATAAGTGAATAAACGATCAACAACTTTACCTTTACAAACTTCAACTTACCTTTTTCCTTTTAACTTGCCTTTTTCCTTTTTTGTTGTCAAGTTGTCTGTCAAAAGACTTTAGTTGGCAAAAAAAAAATGAAGAAAAGAAAAACAGTAAAGAGGTTTTCACAATTATCAAGAATTTCTTGTCAAGTTGTCTGTCAAAAGGCCAAAAGACTTGGAAAGTGGCACCCCTTT